GGTTGCCAGACCGTCAGATTGCCAGACCGTCAGATTGCCAGACCGTCAGATTGCCAGATCGTCAAACTGTCAGGACATCAGACTGCCAGAACGTCAGACTGCCGGAACGGCAAATGGCCAGAACGGCAAATAGTCAGAACGGCAATTCTGCAATCCGCTCCTAATCTTTTCTGCCTGTGGACGAAAATACCAATTCCTTTTTGTCGCAGAACTCACTCCGGCAAGGCTCTAGACGAGCATTCTACGTAGTTATACCTGGACAGATATAGACAAGCCCGCAAGAAGCTTCCCTACAAGGACGCTTCCCCGCAAAGCTTAAAATACAATGATCACATTTGCTAGGGCGGTAGACTCGTGGAACACGACACTAGTGACTGGCAGCTATGAGCTATACGAGGATGAGGATGTTGAAGTCTTGATTGAAGGGCTAGTCTAAGCTCTTTGTCGCTTGCTCCTACGTGTGCCCTCTTGCTTCATCATGACCACTGGCTGCTCCTTGTCGGGCTCCTTCTTTATACGCTTCCGCTTGGCAGCCTCCTTCTTGGCTGTTGTATGTTTTTGATCTTTTTTGCGTGTGAGGGTAAAAAGAGCTTTTTTTTGGTTGCAGCGGTGCAATGATCGAACGTGACACTACGGTGACGGACAGCAATGAGCTGCCCAGTTGTACGAGGGTAAGGGTGTTAACGTGTTGATTGTAGGGCTGACCTAAGTTCTTTGTCGTTTGGTCCTGCGAGTTCCCTCTTTTTTCACTGTCACAGTCGGCTCTTCCTCAGGCTCCTTCTTTATACGCTTCCGCTTGACGAACTCCTTCTTGACTGTCTCTTCGAGAACAACGTCCTCTTCCTCCTTTTTTACTGTCACCTCTTCCTCCTTGACCTCAACCTTGGCGACAACCCGATCTGAGAATGCCTTGAGGTCCGCCGTGAACAAGACGGAATGCGCCCATCCAGCTTCTTTACCCCACAGCTTCCGAAAGAGGTTTCCAATGGCAGCGTATGTAGCAGCGGTCAAGCTGCTGTGCTTGCCCTTGCCGAACCTGTAGTCTTTCTGCGCAATCTGCCAGACATGGGTGTCGACGGGTACAGACTCGGACCAGCCGAGCCCAAAGAGACACACACAGTCTGCGACCTTTGGACCGACACCGTGGAGGGCAAGAAGCTCCTCATGTGCTTGGCGATATCCTTCTCGACCACCTTCAAGCATCTCTCCAGCGGGCTTCTCTTCTATGCCAAACTGTGGACACTCTGGATTGCTCAGGTCTTCCAGCCACTTTAAACCTTTGTCCTCGGAAACCATTCGCGCAGTCTTCGCGATGTACTTGGCGCGATATCCAAACCCAAGCTTCATGAGATGCGCTTCGACGTCGGGGCCCGAGAGGGCATCGGGTGTGGGGAAGTCGTGGTAGGGTATGTCGTCGATGGTGCCTATATGTGGTCCGTAGTGCAAGCAGAGATTGTGTACCATGCCCGATATGCGACTGATATTGTTGTTGCTACTGCATATGAACCCGATGAGTGCCTCCCAAGCATCTTGTCGCAGGATCCTGATACCCGTGAACTTGGGTGCGCGCTTCTTGAAGTTGGCGTCGGAGGCTGCCCATTGCTCGTACAGCTGGCCAAGATTGGGCGCGAGGTTGAAGTAGTGCTTGATAAGAGCAGCGGTATCGTCTTCTTCGGGGGCGACCGAGGGAGCTTTGGAAGGAGGTGGCGTAGGGAGAGCGGTGGTGACAGGCGGGTATGTGGCGCGATAATGGAGATAGTCGGCATCTTGACGGAGGGAGAGTATGCGGCCATGCAGAGCCATTGACCACACGTCATCAGCTGACTTGCGCCATCTGGTCGCACGTTAGGAGATGTTGCGACTCGAGTACTGAGGCAGAGAAAGATACCTGAATGATTGTCCACATCGCAAAGTCGTGTTGATGCATAGCTCAGTGAGGCTTGTAGGCAGCTTGTGCCACTCAGCAGCGCGTAAAGCCATTGTCGTTATAGTCGCGGTCTGCGCCAGGAGTGAATGATGCATCATGGTCTGGCCTCGGTGACAGGGGTAAGGCGCCAAGGGAACGGCGCGCTAAGGCAGGCCCCGACTTTCTCTCACACGTTTTCCGCGACGGCAACCGCAACCACCGCACAAGCATCGCGTCCTAGAGCCGGGACTGTTGCGAGTTGCTGATTCATCCACTGTTCCTTGATCAGATCTGCTAATTGCAGCTTCTCCCGCCATCTCACTCCCGACAGCAGCAGCATCTTACGCGGCTGAACACACGACGGCGCAAGAGCTCCTAGCAGCCACAACCGCCCACTATGAACGGCGATAGCTATTCCAGAGGTAAGCGAGTCTATCAGTACACGTACTGACTAGTGCACAGCTCCCAGAATCAAGACTAACAAAAGCAGACGGTGGCCGATCCAGCGGATCGCGCAACTACGTGAGTGCCGACACTCGTCGCGACAAAAGCGAGCGTACGCTGACTGAACAGTCCTCGAGAGATGACCATCGCGATCGCGGCGAACGGGGCGACCGTGGTGGCGACAGGCGCCGCCGTCGTTCTCGCTCCCCACGCCACGGCGGAGGCTCCCGCCGCGACTACGAGGTCGACACGTACTCTTCCAGCCGCGACTACCGTGAGCGCGAGCGCGAAGACACATACGCCCGCCGTGAGCGTCGCGATGACCGGGGCGAGCGTGGAGCAGAACGTGGTGCCGAGCGCGGTGCCTGGGGCGATTCCTACTCCCGACGCGACCGACCTCGAGGAGGAGACCGCGACCGTGACGACGACCGTGGCCACCGACGGGAACGCGGAGACCGCAACGAAAGGGGCGGCGACCGATTCGGAGGCGAAGAGCGCAGAGGCGGACGGGGAGGACGCGATGGAGGCTTTGGCGGCGGACGTGATAGGATGCGTGCGCAAAAAGAGGAGTCTCCGCCATTCAACAAGCCGCGCGAGGCCACACCAGACCTTACTACCTTCACAAACATCCAGAAGCGCGAGCGTCGCATGACGCAATGGGACATCAAGCCTGCAGGCTACGAGAACATCACCGCCGAGCAGGCCAAGCTGTCGGGCATGTTCCCGCTGCCGGGAGCTCCTCGCGCTGCGCCAATGGACCCGTCCAAACTCGCCGCTTTCATTTCGCCCTCCGCAGGAACCGCCACCGCTGCCGCCCTTGCAACATCTGGCGCGAAGCAGTCGAAGCGTCTCTATGTACACAACCTGCCCCAGGGCTGCACTTCCCAAGAGATTATGGAGTTCTTCAACAACCAGCTCAATGGTCTCAACGTGGTTTCTGGCAACGACCCCTGCCTATCAGCCCACATTGCTACCAGCAAGGAATACGCTGCATTGGAGTTCAAGGCAGCCGAAGACGCGACCCTCGCCCTCGCTATGAACGGCATTTCCATGCGCGATGACGGAGGCGCACCTGATAGGTCGGGTTTGTCTATCCGCCGTCCCAAGGACTACATTACTCCCACCGCCGACGAGAACGCATACCCGCCTGGCGACGAGGTTTCATCTGTTGTCAAGGACAGCCCCAACAAGCTGAGCATTGTCAACATCCCCACCTACATCGAGGAGGAGCAGATTCGAGAGCTCGTCGAGACCATGGGCAAGCTCAAGGCCTTCACTTTGGTCAAGGACACCGGCACCGACCAGCACCGCGTAGGCATCCTCCTAATCCACCGAATCCACTGAACTAACTCAGCCCAGGGTATTGCATTCTGCGAGTATGCTGACAACGGAGTTATCGACGCCGTTATCGAAGGTCTCAACGACATCCCACTCGGTGATGGTAACCTCAAGGTTTCGCGCGCAACTGTTGGACTTCAGCAGACGACTGGTCTCGACGGTGGAGTTGGCGCCATCTCAATGTTGGCAGGAGCCAGCGCTGCTGAGAACCACGAGCACAGCCGTGTCATCTGCCTGATGAACATGGTCACCTCGGACGAGCTGCTCAACGATGATGAATACGAAGGTAAGCTCGGCAACATCACTGGAAACATTGCACACTTCTAACATCGCACAGAAATCAAGGAAGACATCGAAGAGGAGTGCGGCAAGTACGGACCCATCATCGAGACCAAGATCCCCCGCCCCGCCGGTGCCCGCGTCAACCTCGGTGTTGGCAAGATCTACATCAAGTACAAGGATACAGAGTCCGCGCAGAAGGCTATCAAGGCGCTTGCCGGTCGTCAGTTCTCCCGGAGAACGGTTGTCGCGACAGAGTTCTCTGAGGAGGGCTTTGACGTTGATGCCTGGTAGATTTGAGATTGTTTGAGTTGCGCGTTCGACTTCTTCGGGTTGTTGCAGTTGCACGCCATTATTGCCGCGTTGAGGAGTACCAAAAAGAGAGAGTGAAGCTCAGCATTTGTACACTAATTTGGTTCCAGGGGATGTTAGTATGCCCATCGCTGAGATGGTACGAGTATGTGATCGTATCTTGAATACCTAGGCTAGATAGAGTGCCAGAGTGCGCTCAAAGTAGCTTGCCTAGATATCACACCGCATTGTTATTGCACTCGATGAATTTGCCATGTGAACACTGTTTACCGATGAAAAGGTGGTGGCCTTAACCGCCTACGGCAACGTTGGACCGCCCGTGGGATGATGATGAATAGAAGCTAATTCCGCCTTAATGCCGTAGCTGCCGTCGCTAAGCCCGACGCTACTGAAGATCAGAGAATCGTTTGGTCCGTCACGGTCCTATGTGGTTCGTCGCACTCCACAGTAGCTTGTTTTGGCGTGAGTCTCAAGGATGCTACGCAGGAAGGTCTGGAACTCGGTGATATCATATCCCAAGAATATACCCTCTCGGTGCGGGACGGAGAGATTGAAAGCGAACCCCCGCGTGCCGTCAAGGTGCGCGCTTGCCCTAGTCAAGCGCGACCTTCAAGCCCACCGTGATATCACGACGTTAAAAGCGCAGGACCGCCCTCAACATCGAAAAGCTTCATCACCTATTCAGACCAATACATCCCAGGCTCGTAGCCCAACAACCATCATGGCGAGCATCAGGCGTTTCTTCTACTCCCAACTGTTTGTTACGCCACCCAAGCCCACCGGCGACCTAACTGGCAAGACTGTCGTCGTCACTGGTTCTAATGTCGGTCTTGGAAAGGAAGCCGCACGTCACTTCACCCAGCTCAACGCCTCCACGGTCATTCTCGCCGTGCGCTCCATCGAGAAAGGCGAGGCAGCGCGCAAGGACATCGAATCAACCACAGGCCGCAGCAATGTAGTCAAAGTCATGCAACTCGACATGTCATCCTACCAGTCCGTCCTCGATTTTGCCCAGAAAGCAAGCAAAGAGCTCGAACGAGTGGACATCGCAGTCCTCAACGCCGGCGTTACCCGCGCCGCATGGGAAGTCTTCGAACAAGACGAGTCTACCATCACCGTGAACGTCGTTTCTACCTTCCTGCTGGCTTTTGCGTTGTTGCCTAAGCTTAAAGAAACGGCAAGCAAGTTCAACATGAGACCCACGCTTACCATTGTGAGCTCTGAGGTGCACGAATGGGCGACTTTCGACGAGAGGAAAGCACCCGAGGGCAAGCTCTTCGAGAGACTGAACGAGAAGGTCGTTAATGGGAAGGATGTTAGCCTAAACAACCGGTATCAAGTTAGCAAGCTACTCGAGGTACTCTTTGTCCGCGCATTCTGCGAGCGATACCCCGAATCGCAAATCCCAGTCACCGTCAACCTTGTTAACCCTGGCTTCTGCCACTCGTAAGTCTACTGCATTCCTCTTCACTGCCTGTCTCAAGCTAATCTTTTGAAAGCGAATTCGGTCGCGAAAATGGAATCGCCCTTGCGATTGCACGCTTACTGCTTGCGCGGAAAACGGAAGTCGGATCGAGGACTCTCACGCACGCTGGTATATCGGGTGTTGAGACGCATGGGAATTATCTCAGTGATTGTGAGATTACTGAACCGAGCCCGTACGTGCGGAGTGAGGAGGGGAAGAGGGATCAAGAGAGGGTTTGGAAAGAGCTGACGGCGAAGTTGGAGGGTATTAAGGCTGGGATTACAGAGAGCTTTTAGGGCGGTGATACAATGAATCTGCTTTTGAACTACATGAGCTGCAGTCAGTGACGCACAAAGCTCACTTCGACTGGCACAGAAACTCTTGGTTGGGTATTTTCGCCTGTGTTTTTGAGTTAACCCCTTGCAAAGTCCCGACATTCACCAGTTCTACGCACACACACGCTCAACTGAGAGCTCAGGTCTATAGCCATGGCCACCGGTATGAATACTGACTACCCCGTCGTGCCGATTCAAAGATATCTCGATGCTGTCGAAGACATGGCCGTACCGTCTAGACGCACACAGGGTATCGGCCGCGCATATATTCGTCCACCGTTGTCGTTGTTCGAGCAACTTCCGTTGGAAATTCGTCAAGAGATTTATGGATGGCTCGGCTTCCCCATCGGCGGCAAAGTATGGGAGCCTATTGCCACGAAGCAAGGTGGAATGTGTGTACGCCCGACTCTACAATATATCCTCTTCCCAAGGTGGGATTTGTTCCCAGAGGGTTTTTATGATATTAAGTATGCGACTACTCATTCACCAATACAAAAAAGGTGGGATTGCGTGGAAGAGGTAAATCACACGAGAGCAACTCGTACGTCACTAAAGCTCTGCAGCTATTCAGTTGGCGGTCTGGACTTCTATTCGTCTCTACAGGCATTCGACGCGAACTTTGGGATACGATTTTCCAGAGCATCGACGTAGTGTTTGGTTTCCAAGTCAGCAGCAAGGCTGTTCATTTCAGTGACCCACACGGAGGAGGGAACTACGGCAATGATCGACCGAGGTAAGCTTACCACATTGCCTAAATCACTAGTATTCGAGTCTGACCTTTCAGGGGCTTCTATCGCATGCACCTCCGGGATGAGCAATTTGCCAATCTGACCAAGATCACTCTCACCGAGAAATGCGGTCATACATATTCCATTGACAACCCTCATCGCATGGCCAAAGTATCACCCCGCTCTATACTAGTTCGCCAAGCGCATTCCGTACGATACATCGCAGATCACTGTCGCTTCCTTGTCTCCTTCCGGATACAACCTTACCTCCAAGGCTCCGTGACTTGGAGTTCACGTAAGCGCCGTGGTCTTCGTGGCGTTGCGCCAAAGTCTACAGAAGCTCTCATCCAGGCCATCGTATACCTCGTAGAGACGTGTGAGCATCTAGAGACCATCTGCATCCGATACGTAATCGAAGTTCACGAGACAGAGGACTGTTACCTGGATCAGAGGCTGTGCGAGGACTACTTCAGCGATTCGTGCAAGTGCCGGGAGCGAGACTATGAGTTTCTAGTACCAGAAATGGGTTACGTGGAACGTCTAGAGTGGGCAGAAGAGTGGACAAGGGATCATCTTGATTGGTTGCGGATGCAGAATCCAGAGTGGGAAACGTTGTAGCCTCGCGACGTTTAACGCAGGTGATGATTGTGTGTAATATCCCGGAAGACGTCAAATACTCGGAACAAAGCTATAGCATGGAGCTTCAACTACTCCTACATACACTCAATGACTTAATGTCCTGAAGAACGCTTGTATCGCGCGCCAGCCTAAATTCATCTCACTGCCGGTTGCTTGTCCTCACAAATCTATCTGAGCCGCAGGTCTCGCGATGTTGGTGCGCCAGGTGTGCGCATTCACTGGGTTCTTCTGGTAGACATTGACTTCGAAGAACTTGTTGTGAGCCGCACACCTGAAGTTCTTATACCTAAAATGCTGTTATTCACAAATAGCGTCAATTCATTGTCTTCGCTCCACTCACGTGTTCACCTTCTCGAAGTCTGCATCAATGAGCCATTGCTCAGTCACCTCAGCGAATGTGATATCAGAACCAGTAACAAAATATCTCTTGCTATCCAGTGGGCCGTACTTAGTTTGTTTGACAACTTGAACTGCGAATGTAACGTTGGTCGCTAGCGGCCCAGTACCAGTGTCGCTTGCTTTGGGGTAATTTGCCCAGTCCATGAAGATCTCGAACTTGGATTCGTGGGACAGATAACGGTTCCTATATCCCTGGATATCTGAGCAACAGAAGATCGAAAGCATGACAGGTAAGCAAATTGGATATCCGTTATAGTAAGCGGTTTCTGTGGCAGGGTAATGAGCTTCGCAAATGATGTGTCGCTCTTATAGTTGCGCAGTGTTTGTTAGCGACTGTCTCACAGCAGATATGAACAATGAAGGCCCATTACGTGCAGTTTGTATCACTGGTTCTTGCGACTATGGCATAGTTGGTGAGAAGGTAAGGCTCAATTCGTCTATACTACACAAACTACAACTAAAGGGTATCGTCTCATCTAATCATAAACTCCTAGTTCTTGAGCACGTAACGGTACCTGGGAAGGCCCTTCTCAAAGTCAACGATGACATCGTTGGCCTCGGACATAGGCCTGACCTGAACCCAAGCCTTGAGGTTGGTCTTCTTGGCCAACTCCAACATGTCGCGGATGTGCTGCCTGGTACCGATCAAGCTACCAGCGATCTTCAAGTTCTTGAAGATGAGGCCCATGGGGGAGAAAGAGGGCAATGGGTCGTCGGGAGCGCCGAGCTGAACGAAAGTACCGTTGACGTCGAGGAGGTTGAGGTACTGGTCGAGAGGGAAACCACCGGAGATGGTGGAGATGATGATGTCGAGGCCGGCGGCGTTCTTGTTCATCCAGTCGGGGTCCTCGCCGGTAGCGATGAACTTGTCAGCACCGAGCTCGAGAGCATCGGCCTTCTTGCTGGAGGAACGGGAGATGGCAACGACCTCGTCGCATCCGAGAGCCTTCGCGAAGAGGAGGGCGAAGTGACCGAGACCACCAATACCGACGACACCGACGCGCTTTCCTGGGCCGGCACCGTATGAGACGAGAGGGTTGTAGACAGTTACACCACCGCACATGAGGGGGGCGGCGAACTCTGAAGGAAGACCATCGGGGATGGGGATGGCGAAAGCGGCAGGTCCACGCCAGTTCTTTGCGTAACCACCCATGGCCTTGTCACCAGTGCTGTACTTGGCGTTGTAGGTCATGACGAAGCTGTTGCAGTTGCTCTCCTGCTTGGTCTTGCAGGGCCTGCATCCCTCGCAGCAGTCGCTCTGAGCACCAACACCAACGCGGTCACCGACCTTGAGGTCCTTGACATCGTCTCCTACACGGGTGACCTTTCCGATGATCTCGTGACCGACGACGAGGGGGTAGTCTGAGGGGCCCCAGCCGGAGCGGAGAGTGTGGATGTCGGAGCCGCAGACACCGCAGTGGCTGATCTCCATCTCGATGTCGGTAGACTCGAACTTCTTGGGGGTGTAGTCACCCCATTGCATGTTGCCATCGGCGGCGGAGGGGTCGTGGGCGACCCATCCCTTGAAGTCTGGTGAGGAAGACATGATTGTTTGGTGACGTTACTGAATCGAGGGAGAGTGATAAGTAGTTGTGAGTGAGGTTAGGATTGTTTGATGAGATGCAGAACCTACTACTACTTCTCGTCAGTCTTATACCTATACACATTTTCTAGAAGTTTTCCAGCATTTGTAATACATCAAGAGACGGTATGAGGTTGCCGTTTCGTTATCCTAGTGTTTTGCTCTTTCGCCGATCTACGCCGACGGCATCGGACCCACTTTGACGACGTTTTTGAGCCTCAAGCGGTGCGTGCGCACCATATCCGTTAAACCCGCCCTCACCGGTCCGATAAGGGTATGGGTCTGAGGCGACAAGACTGCAAAACTCTCGGACGAGGCTCGCGGTGAAGACGTCAATCTGGAGCCAGTCCCGTAACGTGTATCATCGATCTGCCGCGACACGTGGAAAGCTCAAGGAGGAAGGCGTTTCGCGCAGCGCTAATCTAGCTCCCGTTGACGTGTCGGGATTTAGAATCGGTTCGAATCTTTCTGTGCTTCTAGACCTGGTGGTGTTGTTATGTCAACATCTCAGAGATCTCCCTTTGCGTTGACCGCCAGGCTGAACACGCGCGCTTTCTTCAACATACAACCCACCTCATGCCATTGTCTCATGCACTTGGCCTGACACTACCGGTTTTTTTATCTCTCAGAAAGGGCCGGGGTTGTCATGCACAAGATCGTGTGACCGGAAGTTGCATCATGACAAGTTAGCATATCAGGGACCAATTGAAGTAATCGCAGATCTCAAGGAAAGACACTGCAGTTTTATTAGCGGAGAGGTTCCTTCTCACCATGCAAGTTTCTCCTTTATCCACTCAAGACCTTTTTTCAGCGCATGCTTCGCTTCTTCGTACTCTTGCCACTGAAGATTCACTTCGGCCCTTTTACGTTCAAGCGGTTCGCGTCCTGGTATCGAAAGCCTTGCGTCATAGGTTTCGGCGCCATTATCGAGTTTGATCTTGATGATGCGCTCCTCTTCGACATGACCGCAAAGGAGATCCCATACATGTTTCGTCACTTTGTCGAGTAAGAGTGTTGGTTTGTTGTCTTCGTATCGACAGATAATTGGCAGCTTGATGGAGAATCCGGAAGTGCGAGACCTCATCTCCAGGGGTAGTGTTCGTTCTCCGAAACCATGTTCGGAGCCATATAACGCCTCATCCAGGGCCTTGAGCGCACTTGTCCTCATAGACACTGTAAGCTTTTTTAGAGACATAGAAGATTAGCTAGCCAGAGTATGTGTGTAGAAGTTGATTGTGAGTTGCTTCGCGCAGATGACAAGGATCTTAGGTACTGTGTATTTTGCTTACCGGTAAGCAAGCCCAAAATTGCGCTGAAGTCACGCCTGCGGTTAGAGTGACCGTGCAAGAACCTTTCACAGTCGCTCAATGACAAGTCATATGTAGCTTGATGGAATCCTTGAAGGCGTGAGTTGGGCAGCGCCACGACTGCACCACGAGGCGTTTTAGCGTAGCACTTCCAGGCGCTGCGTCCGCGGGTATGTGAAGCATGGCGGTGAATTCTGGATACCAATATAAGAATATCAACAAAGTTAACAAGCTGCTGATAATGTAGCGATGAAGAACAATGGCTATGTTGAATTGCAGCTGTTGCATCGTGAAGATTGTTGGTGT